GATCCCAAATCAGTCGGGTGCGCCGCCCTTGGAAACGGACATCCTTGGTGTCAGGTATGGTACGCTTGGTTAGTCTGGCGTTTCGGAGGCGAAGTGCCGGAGTAACGGGGGGGACAAAGTCTTGAGTTCGGTTTGGGGAGTGCTCCGAGCTGCCATGGGCCAGCTCGGGTCACGGCCTTGTGAGGTTTAGGGCCCAGGAGAGAGTTCGGGCTCCTTGCAGGGAGCTCGGGTCCTTAGTAGCGAGCTTGGGCTCCTAGTAGGGAGCTCGGGTTCTTAGTAGGGAGCTCGGGCTCCTAGTAGGGAGCTCGTGCTCCTTTTTCTTTTGGTGCTTGTGTTTTGGGTGCTCTGTTGCCCTGAGCTGTTCGCTTTTGCCACGCATCGAGTGATGGCGAGGTCGGGCCAAATTTCCCTTCATCAACAACCAAATATAATCAGTATAAATTTTCAAAATTTACCATTTCCAATTTCCATCAGCAACTAAACCGATTCACATTTCCCATCGGTGTAAAATTGAATTTACACCTAAAACAAATGCAGGCTTAGTGCTTTGGTTTTACGAGTAGTTGTGACATACGAGATCCAAACGTCATTACTTTTAGGTGGTGTTTGGGATCATTGCCATTTTTTTTTGAGAAAACAAAACCCCAAAAAAATGCATCAATTTATGACGTTTGGTTAACTGCTTCTAAAAAAACAAATGTTTTATTGTTCTTTTTTCTTTCCAAAAAATTGTTCGAAAACATTTTTAGTGTTTTTTCTTTCCACAAAGCGTTTTTTGGCATGATGACTGATGTGACTCTACATGATTCCGTTTTCTCGAAAATAGCAATAGAACCAAACAGCACCATGAAAAACGTTTTATCAAAAATTGAAAAAACGCAATGGTCCAAACACCTCCCTAGTCTTCTACCATATATTCCCTGCGTGAAAAGTCCGCATGATCAGAAATTACTCAATGCCAGTTGCCAGAGCTTTTTAAGAGTCCCAGAGCACGCACACAGTACAGAGGTCTCATAACTCATACGGAGCGGGAGCGCGGGTTCTTCCTCCACCAAAGGGCGTGCGGCCGAGCGAGAGAGAGGGTTTTAGTGATGGAAGGTTGGGATCCGAACACGAAATCGACACTGACGCAGATCCCTCTGTTGACGACGAAGGCGGGTCCAAGGGATGGAGCGGCCTGGACGCAGAGGCTGAAGGAGGAGTACAAGGCGCTGATTGCGTACACGGGGATGAACAAATCCAACGACAACGACTGGTTCAGGATATCTGCTGCGAACCCTGAGGGGACGAGGTGGACTGGCAAGTGCTGGTACATCCACAACCTCCTCAAATACGAATTCGATCTCCAATTCGACATTCCCGTCACATACCCTTCCACCGCTCCGGAGATCGAGCTCCCCCAGCTCGATGGAAAGACACATAAGGTTCATTCTTTATCTTTTTTCTTTCTTCTCTCCCCCCTTCTTTTCTTCTTTCAAAGCTTTTCTGGGTGATTAATTTTTAATTGTTGTTATTTGTTCTGTATTTTTCTTTTAGATGTATAGAGGTGGGAAAATCTGCTTGACCGTGCACTTCAAGCCACTGTGGGCCAAAAACTGGTAAATATATTCCTTTATATATACTTTTAATGAAATGTCTCCTCAATTTTCTTTTAATTTCGTATATTTTGGATGCATGATGTTCGAAGCCTTTTAAATTTTTTCTTTGAATCTTGGTTATCATTTTTTTGTGTGGATGGTATGGAATTGATGGGTCTTATGACTCATGAAACAAATAGTTAATGACAATATATTTCTTTCGTTCCTTATTTTGAAATTTGATGTTGGTTATTTCGCTTATTAGTGGGAGTACAAGAGTAGTTTGGGGTTCCTTTCTAAAAAAATTACTTTCTTATTCTGGAACTGAAAAATAGTATATCATACCTCAGAACATCATCATCTGGACCCATACGCTAAACTAGCTAGAAAAATTCTGAAAAGGTATATGGCCAATTCTTGATTTCAGATTTTGTTTATCTTGACAGTCCTAGATTTGGTATTGCGCACGCTCTATGTTTGGGTCTTGCACCATGGCTTGCTGCAGAGGTGCCCATCCTTGTCGACTCTGGAATGATCAAGCACAAAGATGATGCAGCTGTGTCTAGTGAATCTTAGTCTGTATTTTATTGTTGAGACCTCAAAATACAATGACTAATTCAAAGATCTCCAAGCTTCAGGAAAATAATAAGTGTTCAGGTTGATTTATCAGTAATATCCCTTCAAATGTACACTATTTGGCATTCAAGTACAGTTAGATACGAGATTATGGCCAGTAAATATTTTTCTGTTGGAAAATTTCATTCTTCATTGCTTATCAAAAAAAATTTCATGCTTCATCAATATGGATATTAGAAATCCCAATAAGGCTACTTAATTCAGTCTGTATGATCAAATGGCTAATGATTTCTTAACTAACTTATGTCTGGTGTCATCATCATTATCACCATCATCGTGGGGTTTACGTGTCATCATCATCATCACCATCTTTGCATTATCCCAACTATATGGGGTTGGTTACATGAATCCTGTTTCTCCATTCCATTCTGTTCAGTCCATACCCATTGCTAAATTATGGGTGCTTAAATCATTTCTTAGTACTTCCACCCAAATCCTTTTGGGTCTGCCCTTGGATCTTCTTGTACTTTCAACTTGTAACAGATCACCTTTTCTAATAGGTGTTATAGATGGGCTTCTATGCATGTGAAAAAAACCATCCCAATCTACTTTTTTCGTTTTATCACCTATTGGAGCTACTCATAGGTTCCTTCATATGATTTCATTTCTAACCGTGTCTTTTCTAGTTTTACCTCTCATCCATCTAAGCATTTGCATTTTGCCACATTGATTTTTTGGACATGCACCTCCCCACGTTTCCCATCCTATTCAAATTCTAACTCGTTTGGTGTTGCCCATTAAATTTCCACCTGACACTTGTCAACATTCTGAAAACATGAAACCTGAATTTAAGGCTTGTCAGCACTGTTCAAACTTGAAAACATCCATAGTAACTGTACATGGACAAGTTGAATTGTTATTTGATCCCTCTATCTACTTCGGGTCAGTGCAATGAGCAACTAGACTTTTGAGTTTTGACTAAACAAATTGAGATAAACAAACTGAGGTGGGTATCTCCATTATTGTATTCAAGCCCAACCTCTGGGTATGAAGTGAAATCAGTTGCTTAGCAGGCAGAGAACACAGAAACTTCTGAATCTCTTGTTTCTGCAACAACCTTTCCTCTGAGAGAAATCAGATAGACTTAAACTAAAGCCTTTAAACTTTCTGCTGCAAGCATAGGCCAAATGCTTTTCTCTATCAGATTCTGCAAGTATGAATAAAGAAGTTCAAGGGTATGCTACATAACATCTGACAAGCAAAAAAATGAGAAATATATCAGGCATTTCATGGAAAGAAACAGATGAGATACTTCATTGCTATGAACTAGAAATTTTGATCAGAACCATGATTTTAAAGTAATTGATCAGAATGGCTGTCTGACTGGATGAGAAATCCTATGGAAGATGTTTGATTAGGAACCCAAGAGATAGAGTTCAGGAGGTCCATGACACCATGTAATCCTTCTGACCATAACTGCATTACTTAAATTCCATATTACTTTTGATGAATAAATTCCATATTACTATCTACAACGAGTTATTCGTGGGTGTTGTAAACAGATACCAACTAAAGGGGCACGAATCATAATCATGGTTTCTCATCCTTGGGTGTAGATCCATAGGACTAGAAGCTACACTTGTACAACCCATTACAATGGGTTCTTGGTTACCCACTCAATGGGCTGTAGGCCAATTTATCCAAACAAATTCTTGTCTGGTTGGCTAACTTATCAAGTGGATTCACAGTTCTTTTCTTGGGGTGGTAGGAGGGACTGTCAGTCCTGTATCTGCATAAACACAGACAGCCCTTGTCTGCTCTTTCTTGATTCTAGTGTTTGAATAATGGTTGGTGAAGGCTCTATGTTGATTTGTGGTTTCTCCTTAACATGCTTCTCTTTGTTCTTTTGTCTGAACAAAAGATTACAAAACTCTATATGCTGTCCTGGTTTCTCATTGGTCCTCATTCCTCACCGCCTCTTATTGTTTGAACAATGGAGCATGTTGCTTATTAAGGTGAATCTGTGTGTGTGTGGTTTTATTTGCTTAAATTTCTCTTTTTTTTTTGTGTATTCTGTGTGAATTTTTATTTTTGGGAAAATTTACCCAGTATATAATCCCTCCTCTATGATTCCTCTTTTGTTATTATTAGTTTCTTGCTTACTGATTGAAAAATTGAAGACAATGGAGGTGGGGGGTGGGGGACTCACTTGAGTCATATCATCAATCAAGGCTGAAGATGACTATGAGAAAGAAGAATAGAATCCTCCTCCATGTGACAAAAAAAGGTGGGTTTCTTCAGGATATCTTGATTTTATATACTCTTGCATAGCTTTCTACGTTAGTATATTAAGAAAAAAATTTGGGGGATTTCTCATACAACTAAGTATCTTTATTTGCTTCTTTAAAAACAAATATCCACTGTTGTGTAGTTGATTATGTGATCGTATAAACATTGACATTGTACTTGACGAGGGTATTATGATCGTTTTATTATATCTCAAATAAGCACTTATTTGCATTTGACACCCAGCTTTTTCAAGTACTTATTTTTTAAAATAAGCACTTATTTTATATTGGATGTTTGGTAATATTTTTCTCTAATAAGCACTTAAATAAACATTTGTGATTATTTTGTCCTTCATTTTCTTTTAAATTTTCAAAATACACCCTTTCTTTGAAAGCACTTTTATTAAATTACTTTTATAAAAATACTTTTATGAAAGTACTTTTATAAAAATACTTTTATGAAAGTACTTTTATAAAAATACTTTTATGAAAGTACTTTTATAAAAATACTTTTATGAAAATATTTTTGTGAAAGTACTTTTGTAAAAGTATTTTTATGAAAGTACTTTTGTAAAA